CCATAAGTGCTGTAAAAAGTGAAGGCTCTTGATACTGTTCTACTTTGCACTTTCTTAGTCATTTTATATATGTTGCTTACATTTTGTACAGCCGTGGCCCTCAACTGCTATATATTCCAAATTCACTTGAAAGTATATATAGATTTCTATTCATAATATTTGTGTTGTGTATATGATGGTTAAAAAGAAAAACTATTTGGTATTGTCACTGTACAGAAAGTAAAAGATTTTGTACAACGCTTCTCGAACACACGAGCTTGCAACTTCAGGGCAAGCTTTTTCTTTCGTTGCATGTATGTGTATTTTTCTTTTTTCCCAGTTAAAATAGGCTTTGGCAAAAATAAATCATGGCTCTATACTCCTCAGCTGAATCAGCCCTCCTCCTGGGGACCAACTCGAAACTTCCCAAGGCATAACTTTCTCTAGACCAGAACACTGCCAGCTCATCTTCCAAGAACCCTGAGGGGAAGGAGGAAAAGAAAACGGTATAGAAAGCTGACTGCATCTCGTTGTGCATGGAACTGCAAGAGTCACTCAAAGGAACAAAGAAATAGCTTTTCTAAAACAATTAAATTACTTTTTTTTTTAAAAGACACATACAGTTGGTTTACAACAACAGGAATTACTTCCCATATCAGTAGCAACTTTTCAAATTACTCAGTCCTGGAGCCAGGTTACCAATTTTTCTGTGTTAAAAAATGGTCACTATTAAATAGCCTTTAGTCAGCCTGTCAGTGTCACAAAAGTGAAGTACATATAAGAAAGATGCTTGCACTTGAGTCTGTCAGCAGGCTACAAGACTTTTTTTTTTTTTAAAAAGCCATGAATGTATTTATATGAAATGTATTTTATCTTCTGTGTCTTGGTTGACTGAGGATTGCTATTTTAAAAAAATATACATACAAAATGTTAACATTTCAAAAGTGGAATACAACTTAAATGGTTCAACAAGTTTGTGTTCTGGTAGATCTTTCTGTGTTGCACAAGTTGTCTCTGGTTTCTGTTCTGTGCCTCCCATCCTGTCTGAAACCAAGCCTGCCTTAGAAGGACTTCCCAAAAGCAGCAGCAGCAGTACCTGCTGCAGATATTAAAAACAAAGCCTCCAGGGGGCCTCGTTTGGTTTTTAAGGAATGAACTAAATATGGATGTGCTGCAAAAGACAATTTGATCCACCATCAGCTTTTCAGGCATTTCTGGAGAAGGGGAAGGTTTACATCAGGCTCCCTTCAAACATGGGGGTTGTTTGCAAATAAAATAACATGCAGTTTGGAAAGAACTTTATCCTTCATTTGAATGAATTCTGAATCCTTTTTGTGACAGAGCTTGTAGAGAAGCAACAGAGGATGAGCAAGAATGTGCAATTCTTGCCATTAAAAATAAGGAACTGGGATGCAGATGAAGGGAAGTAAATTCCTTTCAAACCGTTATGTGATAGGTGCTGTATCCTGTGCTGGGCAGAAAGAACATAGAACATGGCACTGAAGTGGGAGGGAGAGGTTCATGTACTACATGTGACTTCAGAAAGCAGGTTCAGAATTAAAAATTATCCTCCTAAGTCTCAGAAACAAATTCAAAGAGAAAAAAAATCCAGTTTGGGCATATCCCATAGAAGATTCTGTTTAGGCCCCCTGCCTCAAAAAACATGGGGTGTCCAGAGAAAGATTATAACTACCCTTTCAGTGGGACTGGAAAGCTTCATCTCTGAAGGAAGGTCACAGTTGGGTTTAACTGGCCTGAAGAGGAACGGCACATGACAAGAGATGAGTAACGTTCAACTGTTACCCTGATGAAGGTACAAAGAGCCAAGGCCACAGGAGGAGGAGGAACAGTTAAGTTTACACAAAGTCACATTGATGATTTGACATTTTAAAAGAAACACAGGACTTTAAACCAATTCCTTACTAAATACTGAACTAGCTAATTTTCAGTCAATCTCCACCAAATCTACCACATCCCAGAACTATAGATTCAAATAAATATGTTGTATTCTAAAGATAAATTAGTGATGTTCTGCAGTTACATGCAAAACAAGAAATAAATTCTCATTATATATTTGGGTTTTTTTGTTTCTTGGTTCTGTTTGGTTTGGGGGTTTTTTTGTTTGGGGATTTTTTTGGTCATTTTGTTTCAGTTTTTCCTGAGCCTGCTGATAGCTAAGCTCTATTTACATGAGAATAAATCAATTTCCCTTTTGAAGGCTAAAATTTACACATTGGAAGCTTAAAAAAATAACAAATCTGGTGCTGCTTTTGCCTAAGGTGCCACAAAGGTGATTTACAAAATGCGATCAGTAAAACTTGCAGTCAGTGCTCCTGTGGAATCGCAAACAATGCAGAGTAAAATTGTGCGAACTTACCAGGATTAATTAAAAAAACCCACCCACATTTCCAGTTAACTCCGTGCTGCTGCAGAGTAGATCAGTGACTGGTTTTTAATGTGATAGGATTACATCAGCCACAGAGGAACGGGGCTGACTGCACTAAACACACATCTGTGCTTGGCCTGGCATTTTCACATCGTTTAATATGAACGGGTTCTGACAGAAATGGGGTGATGTTTGCACTATTGCTTTGCTGCTGGGAGCTGTAACAGGCAGAATCTTGCTCCAGTTTTATTGGGGAAGGACATACTAGAAGAAAATCAAATCCATTCTGTATTGACATGGAGTTTTAATGAAGCTGATTATCCCAGGTAATTTGTCCAGAACTGTCTTTAGAGGGAAGCATGTAGTCTTGGCATTGGACCAGTGCTAATTAATTTACACAAGCAGAGCTCTGGGTACAGTGTCTGATCCTCACAGTCCTCACCTGTGCTTTTCAAGCAAAAAATGACCTAAAAAACCTCAAACAAACAAAAGAACCCCGCAGTCAAACCCACCCCACAAACTGCTGCATTTTCCCCTGGTTCTCTCAGTCTGAAACACCAATAATCTGGTTAATGATGAACACTAAGAGATGCCAGAGAGTCACTATGTGTTTGCTACACATGCTTATTCTGTGTTTACCCTCACATGTCTCTTATTACAGAAGTTTGCCTAGCACATCCATCTCCATTACCTGTGAACATCCAGACCCTGAGAGGGAATACCCTTCACTCCAAGACATGACCTCATATCATTAAAATGCTAAAGCAAAAAGATGTAAGTTGTACTTTTTAAAAATACAGATAAGGACTATTAGCACTTGGATTTGAAACAGCACTGGACTACTACTAACAGGACTATTGCAACTATAACTTCAGGGAGTTGTTCCAGCACTTTCCAAAAAGTCCCAGCCCTGGGAGGTGTTTCCAGGGTTTTTGTTTGTTTTAAATAACTAACCCAAACCTTTCCTGCTGGATATAGATCAGCCTATTACTTATGGTGCTCCCCCAGGGAGTGAACACGAAGAATGGATCACTGTTCTCTAGAGCTGCCTGCCCTACTTTCTGTCTTTTAAGTTGAAGCAAAACCAAGCTCTCCCAGCGAGCCTGTTTCTATGAAATTTAATCAGGGTCATTAAACCAGGGCCCTGTGTCCCCACGTTCAAAACACAGCACCTGTCCCATCTCCCTGTATCCTTTATGGCAATTACTTCCCAAAGCCTTTACCTTCACCACATCCCAGAACACAATTTTATGTAACAGTGCAACTCTCACCTTGCAGCATTTTTTTATTGTTATTTTTGAGACCTGTACCTTGGCTCTGAGCACTTGCAGCAGCAGGAGAACAATATTGCTGTGAGGAGGGGAAATGCACAGCTGGTGACAGTTCTCCAGGAGCTCTGCAAACAAACTCTACACCACAACCCAAGCTGAATTTCTAACTAGTCTGGATGAGTTTTAAGCTCCATGCAGCCCCCTCTAAGTATTTACTGGCCAGCAGAGTCCTTCATTTCAGAGGAAAGATGCCTAGAAAACTGTTCACACCAACAAAAAACATAGTGTAGAAACGCAACCTAAAACCTACCACTGTGAAGAAATAGCCATCAGACTCTGGGGTTTGGCTCTCTTGCATGATCCTAAATGGATATTCAGCTCTTCCAACTGTAGTAAAAACTATGACCTGTTGTTGAAACTGCACAAGATAAAAACTCCTCTAAATGCTGGTGAGATCGTGAATCTGTAACATGTGCAGCTGCCCTGCTCACCTCTGTGCATAATGACAACTGAATTTAGAGTTACTAGAGAAACAACCTGGGAGCAGGGAAAACTCTGAGGCGCTCAGAGCATTCACGGAATTTCAAACCCAAACATAACTATGGGCACAGAGCTTTAGGAAGGGGAAAAAATGAAGAAAACTCACCTGTCTGTAGCAGCACCAACATCCAGCACAGCCAGACTGGGAACCACCCAGAGCCCACCCTGTTAACATTCAGGGCTTTCCAGGCCTTTCTGATCAAGGAGCAGACCCTCTTTAGCTGATGGCTAATTGTTTTCATGACTCCCATTTATTCTGCCTCTGGGTGTCTCGATCACCACAGCTGCTGCTGCTCATGTTCCAGTGCTCCACCACCTTTCCTCCCAGCACTTCCATGCTTTTCTCTGCTCCAGGCACCTCAACAGCTGCAGTTTTGTCAGCAGGGCACTGGGTGACAGCTCTTGTACAAGAGAGATTTGGATTAGGTATTAAGAAGAAATTAATTACTTTGAGGGTGGTGAGGCACTATTAGAGGTTGCCCAGAGAAACTGTGTCTGCTCCATCCCTGAAAGTGTTCAAGGCAAGGTTGAATGGAGTGAGGAACATGAACTAATGGGAAGTGTCCCTATCCATGGCAGGGGTTTTGAACTGGAGATCTTTAAGATCCCTTCCAACCCAAGCCGTTCAGTGATTCTGTGACTGGAACCCGCACCTACCCGCCCTTACTTTGGCAGACCTGCATTTTCCCAAAGCACGAAGCATCTCGCGCCTGTAACTCAGGGAGCCTGTCAAGGGTCCTGGAGGTTCTGCTCAGCTCTGCGCGTTCCCTCGCAGAGGCAGCGGGAGCCGTGGCCGGGCGGCGCCGCCTCCCGCGGGTGCCACGATGAACTGCAGCGATGCGCGGCGGCTGCGGGCGCTGCTGGGCGCGCTGCTGCGGGAGCTGCGCGGCCCCGGCAACTCCAGCGCGGCCCCGCCGGGCCCCGGCCCCGGCTCGGACGGCTCGCTGTACATCCTGCTCATCATGATCTTCTACGGCTGCCTGGCCGGGGGGCTCATCCTGGCCTACACCCGCTCGAGGAAGCTGGAGTCCAAACACGACCCCTACCACCTGTACATCGAGCGGGACTGGGGTCCCCGCGGGCCGGGGCAGGCGGCCCAGGAGGGCCCCGAGGGGCAGCGGCTGTGACAGCGCCGGGACCGGCAGGAGGAAGGGTCTGTCCTGCGGGGGCATCGCTCCTGCCGCCCTCCCACCCGGCACTACGGACAGCCAGCGACTGCGGGGCAAGAGAAACAGCCTGCTGAGCAGTCGCACAGCGCTCAAGGCTCGTCGTGCGGTGAGAGCTGTCCTACAACTCTTTGCATTCGTTTGTGTTGCTTTCCTACAATAAACACCTGCATTACCTACTGCAGCCTTTCAGTACTTGAAGGGGGCTTATGAAAAGGAGGGAGAGTGAGTTTTTACACAGGCTAATGGTGATAGGACAAAGGGGAATGGTTTTAAACTAAGAGGAGATTCAGATTTGCTTTTAGGAAGAAATTCTGCACTGTGAGGGTGCCCAGAGAGGTTGTGGATGCTCCACTCCCGAAAGTGTTCAAGGATGGGGCCCTGGACAACCTGATCTAGTGGGCAGCATCCCTGCCCATGGCAGGGGGTTGGAACTAGATGATCTTTAAGGTCCCTTCCAACCCAAACCATTCTGTGATTACATATGTACAGAGACCTCTCTCATCTTTCAGCTTTAGATCTTAGTTTAACATCCTTTCTTTAAAATCTGTTTGTATTCTACCTTGTTGTCTGACCACCATGCTCTTGCTGCCAGCAGTGCTCTGCAGAACTAAAAGCAGGTCCATTATTGCTGTAGGATGCTGCCTTCTGTCACTCTGGAGCATTGACAGCTGGGCCACGGATTGGAAGGCTCAGGTCTCCTTCTGTTAAAGCAAGATGGGTTTGGCTCACCTGGAAGCATTTATCAAAACAAAGAGAGCTTAGAAACTGAAGCTGTTCCCATGAGGGAAGCACCAGTTCTGTGGCTTTGCCAATGCACAGGAACTTTTAAAGCCATCAAAAACATCCTTCCACACACAGGGATGTGTAATTCCAAGAATATCTTTGTACAAATTAAACCAACATAGACTATATGCTTTCTATACAAAAAGCCAGGCAGGCAGAGGTTGTTTTAGAGGTTCTAGATATGACAATAGTCTGTGCTTTCTTGGTTTGGGGTGAGTTTTTTCAGATAAAGATTACTGAACAATTCCAAGGAACAAGTGCTGTCACTAGGAATGCTGCATTACCCAATACAAACTACTGTTTGGATTTTATACAAACCACACTGAAGGAAAAAGAAGTTTTGACATTAACTTCAAAGGAGGAGCGATTTTTGTTATAGACTTAAATTTCCTAACACTTGTGAATATTTTGTCCAACAAAACCAGTCATCTTGTACTTGGCAACTGCTGCATCTTGTTCTCTACTGTAACTCTGTGGGGAATCATTGTAAACTGAACACCTGAAGTGATGAGTTTAAAAAAAAAAATCCTTGAGAGGACTGGCAGTTACCAAGTCAACCTTGTCACTGCAGAAAAACACTGCAAGATTCACAGACCAAATTACAAAGTATCCTTAGATATCAAACAGTGTCTTGTGAATACCTGGATATTTTAAAACTGAAAAGTATGGGGCAGAGAAAAAAATTCAAGTTCCAGAAACAATTTGAGTGGGAGTACATGGCATAGTACTGTATGCCAACACTGTATCAGTGCATGAGACCTTCAGCTCAGCACAGAAAATGCAGCAGTCGGTACCGTGTGGGAAAAAGGATGTTGGAGAAACCAATAAACTGCCAATGTTCTTAAAATCCCCTATGAAGTAGTTGGACAACAGTAAAGTTCGAGTCAGTTACTTCCATCTGCCAGGATTCCAACAGTATCTCTGGAAAATGAAAATGCTTCAGCCTGGACTTTTGGAGAGTCACAAGCCATATATGTATTATATGTCTACAGCTGCAGAAGCTGACTGTCTAATGAACTTTCTCCCTGGTATAACTCAAACACTGTATCAGACACACTAGAAGATTTTCTGTGAGGATTCCCTTCAGTACAATCAGAATTAAGCTGACCACAACCAAAGCATCCCTCTCTAAAACTGAGGGGATCATTATGCATATACAAACCCTTTTATTTACCCTGTCTCAGTGATTAACTTCTCCTTCTGCCTGACCACTGCCCATGAGCAGGACTGGCCTGAGAGGCCTTACAGACTCAGAGCTTAGGAATTATTCAGGACCACTGAACTCAGCTACTTTAGACAAGAACAGGGGAAGGACTCTTACAGTTTTCTGAGATCTGCACACATTAAAGTTTCAATGCACTGGACACTAAAACCTGTGCTTGCCACACTTGATTTAGTATCAGCTGGTTACTGACTGCTTTCCACTGCTTCACCCTACAGACAAATCTGAAGGAAGGCTGTGCGAGTCCCTCCAAGTACCACTGATTTCTTCATCCAATTTTCCCCTATCTTCATAATCCACTTCTCCCCCCAAAATGCAAAGTGTGTTCAACACGCTGTATTTAGGTCCTAACTAAAACCAAGGGCTGCCCCTGTGAAAAAGTCTGCCCTGCATGACACAGCTCAAAAAGGAAAGCACAAGACCTCCTGCCAAGTAACTTAACTAAACATCTAATTATCTGCTGTTCTATCTGTGCCTTTCAACACCTGAAAGAATCACAAGGTCTGAACTGTGGTAATCTGTGATTTACATCAGTCCATCTGTTCTTATAGTTACAGTTCAACCAGCTGTTTAAAGAAGGTGACACCCTCGTGCATTAACACACACACAGGTCCTTAAAACACCCCAGAAGAATTCACACTGTGGCATACAGAGACCTTGATAAGTCAGCATTACGCCCAGCAGCAACATTCATTTCTTTCTGTTTGTTTGAATAAGTCCAGTACATCGTGTACTGGCTGGAAATCTTGAAAAGCCTTGAAGCTGCAAACTCAGTGGGACTGAGCTGAAAGAGGCTACAAGGAGACAAAAATTAGCCACTGAAACTCACTCAAAACATTTTTTCCATCAACAGGATATTCTAAGGCACCTGTATTACTGATGCAGGGCAAAGTGGCCACTTAGTCCCTGTAGTCCATTCCATCACTGGACTCAAGGGATAACAAGACAGATTTATATTGAAGGAAAAAGCCCAGCTATCAATACCCTACCACTGCTCAGTTAGGAACAAAAAAGGAAAAGCTTTACTTTTCTAGAAAGGCCTACCCATTCTTTTCTTCAGCCCTGGGGGAATCTTGGAAGAGCAATTTCTGAATTCACTTTCAACATCCCTGCAAAAATATCTTCTGGTTTGGCCCTAACTGATTTATGATTCCCAGCACTCGTAAACCTTACAGTGCATCAGCTGTCAGAGCCTTGCTCAGGATCATTACCAGGAGTGACTGCTTGCAGTCACTGAAATCTACACCTTCACACACAGCAAGAACCTCACAATATATTTGGCACTGTTTCCAGAGCATGTTTCCAGAACAATCTGTTTCCACAAAACCACTGACCTTGCATTGGGATCTTCATCTTTCCAGCATCAGCTTAAAAGCTGCTGTCTGCACTGAGCAAGTGTTCCTCAGTAATTTGATGTTAAATCTCCAGTTACCTCAAGAAGCTTTCCTTATTTGAGTGTTTCATTTCTTCTTAGCAGACAAACAGCAGAGGCACAACAACATGTTCTCAGTGAAAATACTTACAACCCAAGGATCTGGCTCAAATTTTGTTTGACTTCATCCAGGTATGTGCTGGACAGCAGCCTAAACTTCAGTAAATTTTAGAGGGAAATGTCAACTTGAGATAGTTACAGCTCGACACCATTTACTGCCTGAGAGTGCTCTGGTGAGGCATTTGCAACAGGGTTATTATTCCAGGCACACTTTTTCCCTCACAGAGCTCACAGCCAGCCTGTTCTGCAGTGCTCCAGCACCACACAGCAACAATTAGAACCTACAACACAAGCAGTAAAGATAAGGAAGCCATAAATTATTTCTTGCACTTTTAATATCACAAGAACAAGCTATGAAAACTTCTAATAATAATAAAAAAAGATAGAATATCAGGTAGGTGGTTTTTGGTTGGTTTTCTTTTTTTTAGGTTTTTTTTTAAATTAATCTTACAAGAGGTCTTAAACAATTTGAAAAACTTACAAAATATATTCAAGTGTGGAAAGTTATTTTACTGGTAAAACAGCATTTCTTTATAATGTGCTTTTCTCCAGTTAGGGTAAGGAAGTGTAGGCATATCAGAACAAAGCATTCAGACTATCAGAACAAATCCCTTTTCTCCATTCCAAGGAACAGCACAAGTCAATCCATTTAACTGTGGTATCCCAGAAGAACAAAGAAACATAAAAGCAGTGACTGATAAAGACAATACAGAGAAAATACACAAAAAAAATCTATCAAGTTTTCAGTTTTGTGTGTGGAAGTGCTTGGCTCTTCAGCTGGCTTTGTTTTTGGTTGTACAAGAGTAACTTGGTATCAAACAAAAAAAAAAAAGGGGAGCATGAACTCCAGTTTGGAGCATAAACATACTCATTTTATAGATGCCCATTGTAAATTTTGGGTATTGCAGCAGAGTCAGCAATGGGGAACACTAAACCAGCTGGATGGTTTTGTACTGAATGAGATTAAAGAATTTTTGTGTTCTCTTGTGCTAATTTAAGCACAGAAGTTTTAGCAAGCAGCACAGAACTAGGATGAAAGAGATTTTTTGTTTGTGCCATTAGTTACTCAGTTGTAAAGCCACTGGTTGACTGTAACAGCTCCATTATCACTTAGTATAATAAATAAAAATATTTTGCAAACCAGCATTTTCAGTTATAAAGAGCAAGAGCTAATTCTGGTAGCAGTGAATCACCCCAAGTGATCCTCACTGAAGATGATGGAAATAGGCAGCAGTAACGGGCTCTTCTCCCCAGCCCAAAGCAATTGTGTTCCAATGAATTTCTCTACAGAACCCATGGGTGTGCACACCAAGTCCCATTCCAGCCACAGATCTTACTAAGTAAGAGTTTAAACTGGATTTGTCCAGCTAGGTCAGTTAGTTACCTTCCTAAGTCCCGCTCCAGGTAGTGGTAGCTTTTTTTGTTTGGTCAGTTTTTTTCATATTAACTGCAGGAGTCAGATTTAAAAGCAGCTTGCATTTGAATAGCATGAAAATAATAACTGAGAATAACATCTGGTTGAAAACATTGCCTCATATATTCTAAATCTCCCAGTCTGCCTAGAAAAGCTTAAAAATTACTATACAAATTCAAACTTGGATAAAAATATCCAAAAAGTATTTATTCACAGGACAATCTTATCAGGTACTGATATAAGTGTGTGTTCTGATGACCGCCTTCAAAAGTCCAACAAGCCAATGCTACAGATGCACCCATTACTACATTTTAAAAGGCAAAACCTGTTTTGTGTTTGCAAAGCAGATCTGTAACACCACTTACACAATCAACAGCGAATTAAACAGCCAGTAGAGTACACCACACCAGTGTCACAGTTCAACAATGCTGTACCAGTTACAGGCATGGTTAAGGTTACGTTTTCTTTTCGAACTTGTATAGGAAATACAAATATATGAACATTGCGTATTCTCTTATGAACAAACAGTAATTAAATAGAGTGATCCTTTCTTCACTACATACAGAAATAACAACGTATTTACAATATTTACAGTTTTCAAAAAATTCTCTTCCTGCACTGGGCTGCAGGAATTCAAATTCTTCCGCCTGAAAAAATAGGTACACAATAGTTCTGACCATAAACAGCCTCCGGACAGACACAAGTTGCTAATTCTAACTGACTGGTGTATAGACTAGAGGGACTGAAAAGGAAATACAACCGCCCGTTTCACCTGAACACCCCGTGATTCGTGGGCTTACATGGCAAACTACAGACGCTTTAGGATGTTTTACACACGTGAGATATTGCTCATTTTCACAGTTTTCTCGATTTAAGCCATAGAACCAGTGAGCTGCAGCTGTAACTGCTTTCAGACTGCTGTTGTCATTGTCACATGGGTTATGATGGGAGTTACAAGCTCCTCTCCTGCGTTTTTAGTTACAAGCAAGTGCTCACAGATACAGCTACGTTTTGGGGTTTGTTTGGTTGGTTTTCACTCAGCTTAAAACAGAAGCAGGCCAATTTAAAACAAATCTGCTGATATCCAGATTTACTCTTAATTTCCCAAGTTAAGACAGACAGTCTTAACCTGCAGTCTTGAAAACTATTTTAAAGCAGCTGAAAGCCTTAAACTGCAAATTCAAAGCAAGACACACAAAATGCCCCAGAATCAATAATTAAAGGCCATGTTTACAAAGAACATGAAAAATACAGTAAAAACCTGCATGAGAGGAAGATAAGTGTTTGTGGTGCAGAGCTGCTGTTCTCGAAAATAATTCAAGCACCTGTCCTGAATAACAGTACTGAAGAGAAAAATTGAAGGCTTCACAGTAATACACACTTTCAGTGCCACTTTTGGACTACAATGTTTCTTGAAAAGACAAAAAGAATTCAAAACTCGCAGACTTAACATGGGAAAAATAGTCCAAACCTCATAGCAACAGAATGAACAGTTAAAGCAAACAGAAATCATGTTACCAACCTATTTCTAGGTCACTGTAAGACTTCAAAGGAAAAATATTCAGTTTGAAGTCCTTTACATGCATGTGGCAAGTTGTTGGCACAGGAGCTCCGAATCATTCAGCATGCCCTACATATGAATCCATGTAAATTAACCAGGACCAAAGTCTGGGAAGCTCAGACCAGAAGGAAACCCAATGAGATGATTTAGTTCTATCACATCAGAGAAGGTAATGTGACCTTTCCAATGGATTGGGAGATTTGCTCCTTTCACAAACAGTAGAATCCACTGCAATCCTTCCCAGCCTCCTACAACCAGGAGTAGATAGCTTTCGGAATTCCATCCACATGCCACAAGCACCTTCTTCAAAAAAGAGAAGATGCTACTGTAAAAACAGGTCTTTTCAAGTTGAAGAAAAACTACATTTGGTCAGAATTGTATATGAATAGGATTTTGTATTTAAATAGCAGAGTTTGAGCATCCAGCAGCGGCAGCACAGCTGCATGTAAGGCATTTGGGGAATGATTCGAGTACAGCTCACTGCCTTCAGCACTTCACTAAATTCAACTAACACGAGCAACCTCTCACATTTTAGGATTATTACTAAAGCCGTGGTCACCGGAACCAGCCCCGAAGGATCTGCGGACCTTCCGTAACAACAGATGCAACACAAAGAGCGCGTGTGTTCCCAGGGGAGAACAGCTGCCTGCACAGTGGACTCCTTCGTGCCAAATGAGAGAGGTCACTCCCCTGGCAGTCCCTGCTAACTGGCCCAGTCCTGGAAGCGGAAGCAATCCCCGGCGATCTTCCACACGGTGTTGGTGGGGGTGGCCTGTGCTGTCAGCAAGAAGTTCTGATTGAAGTAGCGCTGCTTATCGCCATCAAATTTGACAGTCCCACTTGTCACCACGAGCACTGTTGTCTGGCCTTGAGTAGCTTGTTCTTCACAAGGAGGTATAAAATGATGAAGAAAACAACTCAAACAAAGACTAGCAGGTAAAGGAGCAGGAAATGCACAGAGAGGCTTCGTTCAATGTGGCTGTGCCAGCGCCAGGGTAACACCAGCTGGTTCCACAGCGGGGCAGAACAGCTTTGGTGCAGCGTTTCTACACAGACAACGGTGGGGTCGCTCAACACGGCTCTGCAATGGCTTTGCCCTTCTCACCTCCTGCTGTTCACTTAAGAGCACTATGACAAACACCTCCATTTTTGCTCAGAATAACCTCTCATTACTCGAGATACACACACATATAGGTATTTAGCAAGTTGCATTGACCGTTTCCCCCCGTTATTAGACATTATATCTTTTCCACAGCAGAGCAAAGCAAGTGTGCTTGACCACAGGCTTTTTCCTTACTTAATATTCCCAAAATGTCCATTAGAAGCAATTTATTAACTTCCCAGTAATGTAAGCCTTTCTTTGCAGTTGTTAATCAGAAATCTAAAGAACTTAACATCTATTCTAGATGTGAAGAAATCAAAGTACAAACAGGTTAATAACGATTTGTTCCACGTTATACTGTAGATCAGGACCAGAGGCCACCATAGAGGTCTCTCAAGGACAACATAATCTGATAAGCCAGAATTTTTCCATACATAAAAATACATCATTTCTGAATATGATCTTAACAAAAAAAAGTCCTTAAAATATTTTCCCAGACATGAGAAAAAGTGTGGAGTTGCTGCATCTTTTGATTTGTGCTTTATTTATGCACAACTTGACATTTCAACCCTTGGTATTTCCTCTAAGCTTATTCCAAAGGAAATATTAAGCCCTATTATAATTTCATTTTTCTTTTAATAGTTAAAAAAGCCCTGAAAAATAGATAAATTATAACACAACCTTACCGTGAACGGGCTGGCAGTCCAACACATTAACCTGGAACTCACTTGATGGCAACATTTCAAAAAATTTATTTAGCTCTTCTTGCCCAGACACTGCATTCCCATTCCAAACTAACGTGGCTTTGTCCAAATACAGCCTGGTTAAAGCCTGAGTGATTATGAAAATACAAATTTAGGATAAATATGTGAACATACAGTGGACAACACACAAAACCTGCCCCCCGTACCGACCCAACCCTGCTCCTGTAAGGCACAGCTGCACATACTGGACTTGGGCCATGAAGAAGTGTAAGGCACTTCCCTTTTCACAGCACGGCTGCACAGGAACACAAAACCCTCTGCAGGGCTCAGCCTGGCCACCACAACACATGGGAACCCACGTGCAGCTGCTTTCTGTGCAATGCCAGTTAGAAAAGTAACAAAAAGAGCACAAGACAATTTAAACTACTGTCAAAAATCTACATACCCTTCTTCTCTTATCCATCGTCTCATAATAAATATTGACAAACTCATCTGCAGCTCTACAAGCTTGATCCACATAGGTTTTGAAATCCTGGAGGGAGGAAATCAGATCAAATTATTAACATTGCACAACCCAGCCATGCATGCAATTTCCACTGTAAGTCGCTTTGATTGGTCTTTTCCACCCTCACCAAAGACAGTGTCAAATAATGTTGAAATTTATTCTAAACTCCTTTTCTACTTGCAGGAAGTGCCAGCTTTTAGCCAGGTGACAGTTTTAGAATTAATTTCGAACGCTGATATATTTCTTGTATTGAAATTGCAAATATTTACATTGGAAAATGGGCTACAGCTGGCTGCAGGTGCTGTGGACACGAAAGTATTCAGGGAAAACAGTTGTTGCTGTGATGGCTGTTCTGGAATAAAGTTAAGGAACAAGATTTATTCAGTATATGTCTGAGAATTAGCATGAACCCCATCACACTGCCACCCTAGGCTTATTTTTTAAAACACCTTCATATACAAATACAAAATATCATGAGAGAGAACACCAACGTGCTGGCTGTATCTGTTCCACTACCAATCAGTGCTGAATCCACAGGTAGAACCCAAATTTCTCACACCTCATCACTACCCTTACATCTCTCGCCTTTTATTCATCCCCAGGCCACAGCCTGAGCTGTCCCATCCCTGCACTGGGATCTCACTGATCTGCTCAGTTTTTCAGCTGCTTGGCCCTTAATCTCCTGCAGACCCTGAACTGGGACCCTCTGGAAAGCAGATTCTGAACTTCCCGCCCATAGAGCTACAAAACTGCACTTGGTGCTGTTATGATAACTTGGTTTAGTGCAACTCAGTCAGTGCTGCACAACTGAACTACTTATATTTTCTTGGAAGCCCTTACTGAACAGACACCAGAACTACTGAGTTCCTCCAGTATTTCCACGGGAAACACTTATCTGTTCAGAGAAAGCACTGCAAAATAACCAGCAGGCTAGCAAATAATCCCTGTTTAGTCAGCAAAGTCAAACACTCTCATCTTACTATGCTCTATTTCTTCTCTCCCTCTGTAGGGACACGAGCCTGCTCCTCACCTTCCCCAGCAATTCCCCAACCCACAGGCTAATTCCAAACACACGTGGCAAAGCAGTGTCAGAGACGCTGTATCCCAGAAAAATACCCGGAGAAACTCCCTGGCACTGGAGACCAGGAGTGTCAGTCAGAGCTGGCTCTGGGAATCGGAGCTGGCCCTGGGAACAGGAACTGCAGCTCTGCCCGTGGTGTCAGAGCAGGTGCTGTGTCCCCTCAGCCGAGGTTACACTGTACCCACACTGCCCGGCCAGCACTAACCATTCCCACTCAGCTCCAAACGGATGGAATGGGCGGGAGGGAAAACCAGGAGACTGCAATGATCTGTCGGGGTACCCGGAGCAGGAGCCGAGTGGGGAAATGAGCTCTGCTGGCTTGTGACGCCCCAGACGAGTTTTCACAGCCGCAGCCCGGCACTCCTTTTTAAATTCTGGGAACAGCTCAGGCTGGGATAAACTCCTGGAGGGCCACCTGGCCCTAATCCCTTCCCAAGGGTCGATCCCCTTTCCCAGGCCTGTATCTGACTGCCCAGTGTCCCGCCCCCGACCGGGGAAAAAAAAAAACCCAACCAACCCCAAAACAACCCTCTGGAAGACTCTGACGACAATTCCAAGCAGTTTCCTAACCCACCGACGTCTCCCCGCGCAGGGCGAGGAGGCCCCTGCCCGGACCCCGCGCTGAGGCGACGCCGCCCCGCCCGGGGCCGGGACGGTGTCCCGGCCCCGGGCGGGGCGGCGTCGCCTCAGCGCGGGGTCCGGGACACGTCCCGCAGCCTCCCAGCGCTCCCACGCCCGCCCTGCGAGCCGCATCCCCCTCATCCCGGCCGTTCCCGGTGGTTCCCGGCCCGGCCCTCACTCACCACGGACGCGGCCATGGGGCGGCGAGGCGGGAGGGCGCCGGAAGTGCACGGCGGACGGTTCCGCCGCGCCCGCGATGCCCTCGCCACCAACGTTCCGCCCGCGAACCCGCTCCGGCCGGAGCGTTTATATATATATATTTTATATACATATATATTTGTTTGTATATATTACTTCTACTATATTATATATTTTTATATAAATATATATTTTATATATATACGTAACGATATACGAGGATTTCAGAAACACATTTCAGCCGCCTGGGCTTAGGCCCCGGATTTTATTTTATTTTGTTTTCGTTCAGTCGATCGATTAAAATCAATTGAAACGGGTAACGAAGTGCCGTTTGATTTCAGGATCGCTGACGAAATGACGGATTTCTGTCGTGAATTATTTGATACTGGGCGAATCGTGACCACGGAATGAAAGCGGAATTCAATCTCTAATAAGATGGAAAGAGTGAACAGCCCTTAATTTTGCAAATACAGTCTTGCTGGACTTGGATTAATGAGTTTGTAATTTTCAAGGGTTTATAATTTTTTCCCCTCTAAGGTTACATAATTAACACTGAGAGATTTCCAGCTGAATGTCCACTATTGAAAGAACCCAACAACCTACAATGCTTTTTAATTTACTGATTCAGAATATAAGTACTGGAACCATAACACCTTTGAACTCTGCAGCTCCAAAATCTCACTGCAGGGCTGTACACAACACTGAAGGGCAAGTCCAGGAGGCAGCAGAAGGCAAATATTCCAAATTTCCATAGCCATTCTACTGAAGAGAGACCAAAGAAGTGACCCATGGGCTCTACCAGTGATTAAAGCGATTCCCACAACACTTCAGCTCTCAAGCTGCTAAAGCAGCACCTGTGAAGGCTCTCATGCCTTCACATGGGTCATGTGGACTGTCCTCTGTGATCATGAGCCTTTATGAATTGTGCATGGTTCCTGTGAAAGACAACTCTCACCTGCTGTTAGAGCTACCAAAGAGAGCAGTAATGCTGCCCAGACTGACACAAGTTTAAGGAACTGTCTCCTAAAATGAGGGAAGCAACTCACACTGACCAAATCCAGGCAGATGCTGATGAATGGGGTGCCTGTGAAACTGGATCATGACTCAGGGTTTGAGGGTTTTGCCTGAGCCAAGGGCTGAATGAGAATTTGAAGATTTGATCTGATGATTTAATGGGAACTGGGAGTTAAGTCTCAGGTGCTCAGCACATTGGCACTTTGACCTATAGGCTGGGTACAAAAATAATGCTAAAGCTGGAGTGGGATTTACTAAACCACACTGGGCTTAAGAAAGCCTAGTTTGGACAGTTCCCAACACAAAAGGCGTATTTCTCTGGGTAGACCCAGGCAGAACCTGTGCTTGTTACAGTCCCTTGGGCACTCTGCATCACTCCACCTCAAATTTCTATCATACCAGAACTACAGGAATGTAATGACTCTTATCCTGATAAATACCTCTATTGTTTTTCAAAGAAAAACAGGACTTGCTATATACTGAAGTGGTAACTGTATCCACTGGGATAGGATGAGATCAAGCACAAATAACTGTTCCATTTTACTCCATGTCAAAGCAGTCCCAAGTGGGGATAAGTTTTCAGAACAGGTCAGTTCAAAGTGTCACTGCAGTTGCTAGTTAAAGACATTTTAAAATCCTCTTCATTTCATTAGATAATGAAGCATTATTTCAGCTCGTGTGAAAATCTGCCCACATGCGAGTTAAACATATGGCCAGCTAAACATATTTGTGGGGTTTGTCCTCCAATATCTTATCCCCTTCAAAAAAGAGACACCTTAGAGAATAGTCACATTTAAAGTCAATTTAATGAATATTTTTGGATCAGCTATAGATGGAGCACTAACCACTGCACATGATAGATTTAATAGAACCACTGTGCAGAGTTCACTCCTGAGAAGGCCTGAAGGGCTGGAATTACAGTTTATGTGCTCTCTGAAATTGTTAGGTCAGCTTCTAAAATATTCTGAGCTCAATTTACACTTGGCTTAGACCTCAGTGCTGGGCACTGGTAGGCTACCCACAACAATTAACTAGTTAGTGGGATGAGTTAACAACAATCAAATGCTAAGTAATATTTCCCCAGGCCAAATGTACCTGTGACCATTTAAAGAATCATTTTCCAGTAAAGAACCATTTACTTCCACCTGGAAGTAAGGAGTTTTGTCACTTGCTTTTCTTTATAAATGGAAGAATTAGGAAAATCTTGTATGATTATTGAGTACATGCTTTCAGATGTTTTACTTTTATTCCTGAATCCTGCAAAATATTGAGCACTGTCTGATCATCTGACCTGTGGTTCTGTGCTCAGCTCATCTGCACAGCAGCTCTGCAGCAGGGAAAGCTCTTTCAACTTTCCCTGCTCTCTATGTTATTGCAATGGTACCAAATGTTCCCTAAAATATCAGTAATCCAATAGTCAACTCTTAAAAAATAGCAAAACTCCCACTAACTCTAATGGAAGCCAGATCCGGCCTTTGCTTTGTTTGTTTTGTCCAAACAGGGAATAAACAAAGCTTCTTCAAAATGTACCTTTAACCACTACCTCAGTTCCAAAGTCCCAGTGCTCAAGCTCCAGTTTTAGCAAATATCTTGGCTAAATGTCAAACAATTCCATCAGCTCTTTGAAGGCAAATATTAGACAGAGACTGCATCTGCAATAATTTCCCCAAACACCATTCAATTAACCTACTTGGCTAAAAGGTGATGCAAAAATCAATATTTTGTAACAGAGGCATGTGTTTCAGAGGAAACTAATCAATAGGCATCAGAGCAATTTCGAATTACAGGCAAATATAGACAAAGTTAAAATATCAAGCAGTTGAGGTATCAAATGCATTGCAACTTAAAACAGCTCTATTATTTTAGGCAGGATATTCCTCCAGTTACAATTTCAACATATCATTGCTTTTATTGAATTATTTTCCTAAAATAAAAATAATTACTGTAATTTTAGGAGAACTCACAAAAAGGTGGGAGTTCCCCTGTTGGTCCTTTACCAGCTGGTAACTGGAACTGTGCATTAGGTTTCCTCTGAGTACAGCAGCTGGAATACACCTGAATATTTGGAATTCTTCTGTTTGTTTTTCATGAGGTGTTTTTCTCCCCCTATTGCTTCTAACCTTTCACATACATATGAGATGAAAGCAACAGGAGACCCACAAGTATTCTAAGACCTGAGCTAGACCAAAAGAAAAATGTGAGATCTGACTGTGAATGCACCCATCCCTCCAATCATTTCAAGGAGTATCTGTTAAAACAGAGATGAGAAGAAAGGCTGAAGAGCAAGCCCAGGCACAAGCTTCCTTTTCCACCTTTACTCTTTTATTCTATTTATTCTATTTATTTATGAAGACCCAAAGCTAAGTCAGTGTCTAACCTCTTCTGTAACAGCCTAATCTATTTTTCTTTGAGAAGTTACAGCCTTTGGAATGAATCACACAGGAATCTTCCTGCAACATTTGTACTGCATTTACCAAATACTCAGAAGGATGAACTCCCATTCCCACTGCAGTTATTAATAACAAACTCTGCATTGCTGCAGTGTAAATACTGATTCACCAAAGAACACTAAATCTGGTTATTAACTCCCATGATTGCACTAGTCTGCCAATGAGAAATACATTTAAAAAACATAGTAGTAAGTAGGGAGGGAACACAAGCTGTGGGTGATTTACAGGAACCTTTATGATTTTATCACCAAACAGACAAGAAAGGTAAATACTTAGAAAAAAACAAGCCCTAAGACATTACATCAAAACAAGAAAAGGGATTATCATCTTTAAAAATACTATTTCTCCATGTTGCTATTCTCTAGATATGAAGGATGTGAATATTCTCTTCAAAAAAAGAGGAAGACCAAACCAATGGAGTCAGAAACATGAGAGATTTTCCAAATGACCTTTGGATTTATATTTCAAAATTATTTTGTAAGGACACTGAGAGATATTCTTTCCTTTTGGGGCACTAAAACAGAACAGGTAATAGGAGGATTCAGGGCACACTTTTAAACCCAGTCAAATCTTATTCAGGGACCTGGCTGGCATTTACTATCAATCCTGGTTCAGTTCTCAGAAAGGAGGCAATTTCCTCTATACAGGTTCAGCCATTGTTGCACCTGGCACAGTATCCCAGTGGGAAAATGAAGATACAGATAAGCTATCTGTAGGTAAAATGTTCTCTCTGCTTCTGCACAGTGTCAGTATAGCTAAAAGACAAAGTAAAGGAAAAGTGAGCATCTCCTGTAATTGTGATTTAAAGAATCAAGGTGAATATGCCCATAGAATTCTAATAGGCTGTGTCCCTAAATTCTTGTCAAGATTCCTTATAAATGAACCTTTTATTTACATTTCAAACATTAATACACCACTGTGCAAGAAATTGTTTCTTAGGGATTGACAGCAGAGCATCCAAGAAACTGGCTTAAATGCCATCAAGGCAGCCAGGAATAAACCAACATGCCAATGCTCTGATGGTTTATTCCAGAGAAATGCACCTGGACCCACCAGCTGTCATA